GAATATTTATCTGATCTTCAGATTTAGTTCCAGCCAATCTTTTTTTTTCAATAATACTCTAAACGATGAAACCTGAAAGTTTTAAGCCACTTCTAATTTTGCTTGAAGTATTTTTTAGAAGCTTCCAAAGGTGATTTCACATAATTTTTTTGCTCTAAGTGAGAAAAAATTCATAATACCATTCCTGAGCCTGAAATCCATTCACGGTTTGTTTAAATCCTGAAAGTTAAATTCCCTCTGATTGCTTAAAGTATTTTTCAGAAGCTCTCAAAGATGATTTATCAGGGATTTTGAAAAAGTTTTCATAGACATCAAAATCAAGTTGTTGCGAAGACACTTTATTTATGACTGAGTTCCTGACTGAAACCTTGTTTCCTCTGTGGTAACCATAACTGAGATGGGGCCCTGTTTCCCCTGATGTGGCCTCCTTTCCTCCCCTTATAGCCACCCCGATCCTCGCTACTGATAACTGTTTTTCTGAGAGACTGATCTGCGGCTATTACTGATACTTTGAAACTGGCGTGAATCCTCTGCCTGGGATTCACGTTACCTGATACTGATATGTAAATCCTCTGCCTGGGATTGATACGTTTACTAATACTCTAATGGCTGTTTCCACCAACTATTTTAGGGAAGCCCTAACGATAAGTATTTCCTAAACTGACATTTCTCCATGTAAAAATGTCATTTTAGGGAATAGTTATCGTTAAGGCTCCCTTAAAATAATTGGTGGAAACGGCCATAAGAGACTGATACTGAGACGAACTACCCGAGAAGACTGAAAGCGATTTCCATTTGTCGAACCAGTGCAACAAAAAAAATGTATCCTTATCCTTACATGTTATATGCTTTTAGAAAAAGATGCGGATACACTCAGTGTGCACTGACTGACATATGGAAATCGCCATTCTATGATCGCCATGATAACCCTGATAATCTGACAATCTAGTTACTGACACTGACAGCGAATTCCATTTGTCGAACCAGTGCAAAAAAAATGTATCCTTATTCTTACATGTTATATGCTTTTAGAAAAAGATGCGGATACTCTCAGTGCGCACTGACTGACATATGGAAATCGCCATGATAACCCTGATAATCTGACAATCTGTTACCAGTGAACCCTCTACCTGATCAGATTCACGTGCCTGATATTGATACCTGAACCCTTTACTTGGGATTCACCTTGCCTGATATTGCCACCTGAACCCTCTACATGGGATTCACCTGGCTTTTTTCCTAAAGAACCCGAAAATTGTGTTCTAAATAGACCATAAACCCACACACATCAATACTTATAACTGACTAGCTAATGACCCGCTGCGTTGCCAGCATGTAATACATTTTGAAATAATAAAACACTTCTTTTCAAATTTTGTTGTTGATTTTCTATTTAATTTTTTTTTTTTAATCCGATATCATAGTCGCTTGCCAGTGAGTTCAGTGACGCATTTTAAGCACTCCACAGCTGCTCTAGAGCGCCCCGGGCTGTTTATAGGCGTTTCAGTGTATCAGAGTTTTACGCAACCGAACTTTTTTTTTCGGAATAAAAAATAGCCTATATCACTCTCCTCTATAGCCGATTCGATTGACCGGATTAGATCGATCTGGTTCAATTTAAGTGAACCACACTGTGTTCGATTCAAGCTGGATCAGTGCACCCTCATCAACAAAAAAATGATCTAGATCAGAAGAAGTTCACTTAAATTGAACCCAAATCGATCTAATCTGGGTCAATCGAATTCACCTTATATAGAGATACGTGGTATTAATTCAAGATCGGTCCAGCAATTCTTGAATTCAACAAATAATAAAGTTACGTCGGTTGAATGCAAGCCTAAATAAATGAAATATGGCAAAGTTGTTTCATGCTGTCAAAAAAAGTTGGGTTATGTTGTTATGTAATGTGAATGAGTTTGTTTACAATTAAATTAATAATCAATTCAAAATTAATTTCTTTTTCCAAGATGCGTAACCTATCCACAAACCTTCCTTGGGATGGCCATAACAACCTACCAAAGTTTCATCGTAATCGGATAAGTGGTTTTGGAGCCCATATCCGGATACCCCGTGAACTTTGATTTTTATATATATAGATAAATCGCAACGTCGCCTTGCGGTCGTTCACGACCAGTGGCGGTTCATACATGATTTTTTTTTTGGGGGGAAGGTGTAATGGATGACGGGAAAATCATCAAGTGTCGCAACGTACCGCCGGCCGGAGACGATTTTTTTTTTGGGGTGCCACGCCCAAATTCGTTTAAAAAACACACTTCGGGCAAAAATGTATCCCACTTAGTGCGATATCGGACGATATCTCTTTACAGGGTGATGCAAGAAAAAAAAAAATTGCAAAGTTTTTTTGATTCTCTAAGGTGCATTAGTTATAAATATTGGAGTATGCGAAACAACTTTGTTATTTTCAAATTATCCCCAGCAAATTTCAAATTTCACTTGTGTGGGAGGATGAACTTGACATTACTCACAGGTACCGGAGGAGAAGGTGTACTGCTCATTATTTGGACAGCTCCACCACTCGCTGATACTCATCACAATCGAGCTCAACAGAGGACTGAGCAAACCTTGAGCCAGATTGGTCGGTGCTTGGCCCTGAGGAGAAACATTGCCTTGAATCTGGGTTAGGCCTCCCTGGAGAGCCGCTAGATTTGGAGGTACCGGTCTATTACTAGCGTCAACCTGTACTGCTTTAGTATATAACCGATCCGAGGGTCAGTGTTTGTGCTACCAACACCCCTCGTAAGCTAACTTCGTCACTAGATGTACAGTTAATATTATCTAATCGTCCCAATACGTGGCTCAATTTTGTCTGAAACCTTAAATAAAGATGTCGCAAAATTTGTCTATGTCTTCTGCTAACTCATCCAGTTTTGTGGTAACTGCCTTGGCGTCTTTCTGGAAGGTGAAAAGATAAGGTGGATAGTGTATACTATCACCCGCATTTTCTGTCTTGCTTGATTCAACTGACACCTCATCTCATCTACAGTTTCAGTGGCGATTCGCCTCCATGTTAGTTCATATGTCAGCTCTTCCTCATTCAACCGATTCACTTCCATCCTACGCGATATCCTGTCCGGTTCACAATCACTATACTAGTTTAGGCAATATTTACAGCGGTATGTATATGTATATTTATAATCCGCCAGCAACTAACCGAGGTAAAGGCTATAGCTGCACTATCACAGTCAAACTTCACTTCAGGCTTACCACTAAGTACCACTTAAGTTACGTAACAAGCACTCACTTTACAAACCTGATGTGACAGCAAAACCTCAATACACATACTTGTGTTTGATTTATATGCATATAATTCCGCGCCACCGTAAGTCAATCAATCAATATTCGGAAATATTGCAGAGTGCTATTCTCTCAACTAACTATTTAATAACAACAAGAAGGAAGGCCACTGATGCCCAATGGAAAGTGACTATTATGAAAAAAAAAATCAATACTTGGACGAATAAAGTATCAAATGAGATTTCCCTAAGATAAAACAAGTGAAAGATTATAATTAGTATAGCCCTAAAATAACGAGGGCCCCACGTTGGGCGCCAAAAATACAACGTTAAATTTCCAACAGGAGTTTGGTAGAGGGAAAAAGCAAACTGTGGAGGCTGCCAGTTTTTATACAGTGGAGATGGGCCGGGGTGAGATGAAATTTTGAGCGCCACGTGATTAATCACCACAGATTCCAAATGAAGATGATTGGGCCAAGTAGTAACCTAATCACGAATGATAGTTACTAGGCATGAGAGACCTCGTCCAGATTCCTGAGAAAAAATTGGGAACAAATCATAACAGAAATTCTACATATTTTTTCAAAAAATCGCAGTTTGCATGTGTTAACAAAAACCAACATCATTCATTGGAGATTCTATAAGCTAAAGCTTTTGCAGGTTACTAGTACATACTTACATTTACTTCATGGTTCTATAAAAATCTGATAACATTCTAGAGGGTGTTCGCAATACTCTCTCTACACAAAACGAGACATTTCAAACAACCATAGCTATTTTTTTTTTCCAAATGGAATAGCCTCTATCTCACTGTATAGTAGTAGATAGGTATACGTCGGTACGGTGGGTAAGCCATATCATATTTATATTTATATTTATACGATGCCTTTAATGCTTTCCTTTGTAGAACTTGTCTTTTGTTGAAATTTTGTTGTAATTATCAAATGTATAGAAAAAAAATCTTTGTCTGGGGAGGGGGGGGGGGGGGGTAATTACCCCGTCTACCCTCCCTTTAAACCGCCCTTGTTCACGACACAATCATCCTATATGTAGGTAATTATTTCGGGGATTACGAATAATTTTCAGCCACTTCTTGTATAGGGCATAATAATTCTTGAGAAATTTGCTTTTTATGGCATCAATCAATTCTAAAATAGAAATGAATAATGATCCCGGAAAACTTGCCTATACGATTATTGAAGATGGGTTTTACCAAATCATCAAATAAAAAACTCTTCATTCTTTTTCGAGATCCAATTTCACAGTCTTAATTCACAATGTTGCGGCAAACAAACACAATTTAGTATGTAGACAATTACAAATTAAGATTGACTCACCGGTAGTTGAAAAGATTTTCTTTTAATTGTTGCCGTTTGACATTTAAACCATGCTATTAGGTATATTGTTATTACTTCTTATATGACTAATTGCGGACCATATTTGTACAAATATGCAGTTATTGAATTTTTGATTCAGTAATTATGCATGTAATTCATGTCCTTATATGTAGATAAACGCGTCTTTATTAGAGAGGAGAAAGCATTATGTTGCTTAATGGCTAAATTGGCAATGAACTTCTATTGCCTTAGGATTTGAATTAATTTATTATAGTTCGTTGGTATTTTGATTATTGAATTTGAATATTTATGGAATATCTTGGGTTCATTTTGAAAACATTTATGCAAATTAGATTATGTCACATTAATGTTATACAATATTAAAATTTTTAAATAAACTTATTTTTAGATTTCCAAAATGAATCCTATACTACTCATCTGTACAACAGCACTTTTCGTCACTGTCCAGTGTGACCAATCCAGCCAAAACCGTCCAAATCGTCAAATATTCACTGGCCCTCACCATAAACTTGCACTCGCCCAGGTCCAAGTGCCTCACACTCCAGAGTTTTCTGGAAAAATTTCGTACGGCTCAGTTTTACCGATAGCTTCAGGACACGTTTCGGTTGGTACGCAGCATCATGGCAGTGTAGACGTAACAGGCCATGCCCCACGTTTTTCATTGCAAGCGTTTCAGGAACCTTCATATATTGCAGGCGAAATTAAAAAACTAGTTCGGGTACCTGTTGAAGATCTCATCGATGAAGAATGGAAGGCGTTTAAGGTACTAATTAATTATTTAAATTAAGTGATTTTGCTATGGGTGATTTTTAGATGACGTACAACAAAATATATCCTTCAACTGAAGTGGAAAACTTCAGGCGGGAAGTTTTCATTGAAAACCGTGCCAAAATAGCCAAATTCAATCAGGAATACAGCCAGGGCAAGCGCAACTTTGTCCAGCAATTGAATCCCTATGGCGATTTGCTGCATCATGAATTCACCCAGCTATTGAACGGTTTCAACAGAACTTCGCTGCCAAAGGTTTCCATACCGACTCCAAGTACGTACATACCGAGCGCTAACGTTGTTTTACCTACCAGTGTGGACTGGAGACAAGTTGGAGCGGTTACTCCTGTGACGTCACAAGGAACTTGTGCTAGTTGTTGGGCATTTGCAGCGGTAAGAATTTTAGAGTTAGATGGATTTAAGAGGAAATTTTAGCACTTACAGCTTTGGAGATAAGACACAAATTCAGACAGACCTGTATTGGGTCAATAAGTGTCAAACTTTAAATTCTGAATTTCAAATTTCAATTCATTTTGAAAAATCATACTTCAAATTCGTGGGTCATTCTAAGCTGCAATATTCTAAAAATATAGTTGCAGTGAGGGACCATTTCCAACAGTATTTCAAAATCGGTCAAATGTATTTCAAAATAATCATTTTTATTTCAAAAATTGATATTTTAATTTCCAATTTGTCACTTTTATTTCACATCATTTGTATTTCAGAAAGTGTAATTTGTATTTCCAAGTAATCAATTGTATTTCAAATATGTTATTTTATTTTCCAAATATATCATTTGTATTTCAAATTCATAAAATGTATTTCAAACTCTACCATTTATACTTCCAAAAAAATTAGATGTATTTCAAAATCATCATTTCTTTTAGGTATATCATCAAAAATTGTAAGGGAGGTACAGGGTATCTGGTTATAATTTGATTTTCTTCAACTGTACGATACAAACACATAGGTACTTTATTTTTAACAGAATTGGTAATCTTCGAAATAAAACTGACCATTTTTGGAATACATTTTACTAATTTGAAATACATTTGATGTATTTCGAAATAAATTTGGTTATTTTGAAATACATTTGATGTATTTTGAAATAAAATTTATAGAGATTGAAATTAAATTGATGCTTTTTGATATTGAATTGATGATTTTGAAATACATATGATATTTTTATAAATTAAAGTTGTTATTTTGAAATACATTTGATGCTTTTTGACATCAACTTTATCTATTTTGAACTAAAAGTGGAAATGGTGTACAAATCCTGAAAATTTGGTCTAATTTTGCATTATAGTTCCTGAGATAAAAAGTTCTTATACTGGCAAGATGAGGCTTTTATAACTGAACCAAGTACATATTTTCAAAGATATCGTATTGATGGTTAGTATGGAAAACCATGGAAAAATCATGTAGGGTTCCGAAGGATTATTATTATTCACTTGGCAATAGAAAGCGGTTTGACACCGAAGAGTCTATCGTATCTTCTCTGTCCAATGCTCTACGTTGTTTAGCGCGTTTATATCCTGGTTTATTGCATTCCATCGGTATACTACGCGGTTGCATAAGAAGTTTTTTCTTAACTCTAAGGATGTTTCCTCTTTCTTGAGCTTTTTGTCGTGTCCTCTGAGGTTTTCATTCATGTTCTGTTGAAACATGTCTGCCATATACAATTCTGGGAAGTAGTGTCCACACAGGATCTTATAGGTCTCTATTAAGTCGCCTCTTTCTTTCAGAGTTGTCAAGTTAAATCTTTGCAATCTGATATCATATGAACAATTATGCATTTCAGTTGGGATTCTTGTGATTCTTCGTTGCACAGGTTCAAGCAGCTCTATATCCTTGCAGTAGTACGGGTTCCAGACTGTGTGTGCGTACTCAAGTTTGGGCCTTATGTAGGTTGTATAGACTTTTTTGATCATTTGGATAGAGTGATTGGTAAAAGCCGTTTTTACTAGGTACACCAACTGATTCGCTTTCTTCACAACTCGGCCTATGTGTGTTTCCCATTTAAGATCTTTTTGTTGGTTAACATTCTCTAGCTTGGTTCCCTTAACTTTGTAGTCAATCATTGGGTTTTTTTTCCCTGAAATGGGTTGCAGAAGAGTTTTTTGTCAGCTACAAAGCATACTGAGTTACTTTTTATTCCGACAATCATCTTCATCAGGAGCATCTTATCTTTTACATTTTTTTCTTCATTTTGTAGATTGAGCGGCTATTATTGCTCCATGATGATGGATATACCTATAGAGTGCACTTGAAGGGTAAAATTAGCCCCTTATTCACCACAAATCCTAGTTTTAAGAATCTGTGCAAAGGGTAGACAAGCTACACCATACTGAAGTTCCAAATTCATAGAGTTGATTGTTCTTGGAAAACAGCGGGTGCGTTTACCAACCCAAATGGCATCCTAAGGTACCCGTAATGGCCATCTGGAGTCACAAAGTGGTTTTCTCTCTGGATTCCCTTTCCATTGGTATCTGGTGATAGCCGTTTGCCATATCTAACGTAGTAGCAATACAATAATACCTACTTGGCGTCCTACTGCGTAGATGAATGATCCTTACTTTTTAAACTTTTGGTTAGGTCTGCTATTATGAAGAGGATAGAAGCCAACACTGATCCCTGCGGAACACCGCTGTTTACAGGGTGTAGTTCTGAACAGATTCCATTGACCCTGACTGCGTATTTTCTACATTCAAGAAAGGAGTCACTCCATCGAAGATAGAATCCTCTAATCCCGTAGTGGTCCAGTTTGTGGAGAAGTCTTTCATGGTGTCGAGAGCCTTTTGAAAGTCGAGATACACTATATCTTCTGGGTTGCCTTCATCAACTTCTTTGGTCCATTAATTTACACAATTCAAGAGGTTGGTGGTGGTTGATCTTTGTGGTTGAAATCCGTGTTGTGACGGTGGAATAATAGAACTTTCCAGTGAAAAACTTGTGACATCTTTTGCAAGTATTTTTTCCATTACTTTACAGAGTGTGCATATCAGGCTTACTGGTCGGTAGTTTGCAGGATGATGTTTGTCTCCGCTCTTAAAAATTGGGATTATGATAGCCTGGGTCCAAATTTTTGGTAGGATGCCTTCTGTTAGCGAGCCGTTGAATATGTTTACTAATAGAGGGTGTTAGGGATTCCGCAGATCTTGTTAGGAAAATGGCAGGTATTCCGTCGGGTCCCGGACTCGAGTAGGTCTTTAGCTTCTTTAGTACCTCGTATACTTCTTCAGGTGCGATAATCTTGTTTATTTGATTTGGGTTACGTTTTTGGTGGGAAAATTGCGGAAGGATTCTTTGGTGAAAACAGATTCAAACTGGTGAGCAAAGACCTCTGCCGTTACGCTGGGGTCATCAATTATTCGTTGATTTACTGGGTCTTTCAATACTACGTCGTGTAGTTTCTTTTTATGTAAGAGTAAAAGTGTTTATCATTCTTTTCTAGGATGTCTTGTTCATATTTGAGTCTTGCCTTCTTGATCATAGACCTCAGTTTGTTGTTGTGTGTCCTGTATGTTATATAGTTTTAGTCTGATTTTTGTTTTTTATGTTTGTCCCGAAATTTCCTCTTGAGGCCAATTTCTTTGAAAATGAATGCATTCAACCAAGGTTTTTGGACGTTGGTCCGGCATAGTTACTCAGGGAAGAAAATATCTATTGTTGCTTTCAAATTCTACGTACTTCTTGACACTTGTTTTGATATCTCTTGTTAAGTTTATGATGTATTCATTAATGGGTTCGTAGTCATCAATGTGAAAGTTCCGCTATTTTTTTCTCTTTATTGTATTTTGTTTAAATCTCAGCTGCACTACTCCCGCAATAGTGATGTAATCGCTTTACTCAAGTGGTGCTTTAGCCTCTATCAATGACATCATTTTTTTGTCGCTTGTCAAGAAAAAATCCAGTAGAGAACTTTGATTGTTTCTAAATTTTGTATCAAAGGTTACAACTTGATGATATCGCCATTCTTTGTAATACGTTAGAAAATCGGTGGCTTTTTGACATGGTTTATTCAATCTTAGAGATCTCCAACAAATCTTTGGGTGGTTGAAATCGCCGCTCACAAACACTTCGTCATTCTCCTCAGAAACTTTCTGTAGTAGATTGTGAAGAACTGTATTTTCATCGTGGGTAGTTCTTCCTGGTCTATAGATACATCCCAATAGAAAGTTTTTATCTGATATTTATACATCCAAAAACACTGTAAGCGGACTTCTTAGTTTTTTGTTGGTTTTAATGGTTAGATTTGTGGTTAACTTTACTTGCAAGGATATAGTGAAATACTCCAAACCTAAGAGGGCTCAGACTTGGCCTCATAATAAATAGAAGTATGATTTTTCAAATTCAAACCTCATTGGTTTATAATAGAGCAAATATTCTCTTTTTTTCCATACAAAGTTTCAATTTTCCAGGCTGGTGCCCTAGAAGGTCACTGGTTCCGCAAAACCGGCCAACTGGTCGACGTGAGCGAACAAAACTTGGTCGACTGTACGAAATCCTACGGTAACGATGGTTGTATGGGTGGCCTGGTCGATCCAGCGTTCCAATATGTCCGAGTCAATGGCGGAGTGGATGCTGAGGAGGCGTACCCTTACGAAGCTAAAGACGATCAACAGTGCAGGTTCCAACCTGATAAAGTGGTCGTCAAGTGCACAGGTAAATAAAATTTAACATTGAACTTATAAACACCTAAATTTTGTTTAAATGTCACGGACATCTTCAAATATTAATTAAAAGTAAGTGTTTGCAAGAATAGATTTGGTTAATAATGAGATACTTATGTAATTTTGAATAATTTAAATTTGCTAGTATTTATAAACTTGAGATTACAGACACATAACTTGCCTTGACTTCTGGAACAAATTTATATACAAGACTGATCACCAGATGTTTTTCTTCTGCTTGAATTTTTTTATTGTGGAATTGTATAAATTAAGTACCTGGTACCCATATCTTAACCTTCACACTTCATTTATTTTTTTCCTAATCAACGTTCAATTCATCAAATATCCTTGATGACGAAGATGACATTGCAAAATTGAATTAGGCTTTATTGAATCACGACCTGTACTGAAACAATGTGGCGATTTTTCTTGTTACAAGTTACAATCGGATTTTTTTTCTATATTGTAATTCTGTCATCCATATTATTCATAAAAATCGTTGTTGACCTTTAGTCGTGATTCTTGAAATTTAAAATGTCGAGTGGAATTTTGAAGACCAACCAGTTTTTTGGCATCAATGAAATACGTCGAAATCATTCCAAAAACCCCATCTAATACACCTAAATACTTTGAAAAAGAAGATTTTGTAAAATTGTAGTAATTTTAAGCTTTTTATATGGTGATTATTCCTTGTTTTTCCCTTTTTATACCCTAATTTTTGTGGTACTACATCTACTATTTCAGCAGTTCTCGGGATTCTCTTTGAGTCATATGAATAAAGTGTAGCAAATGCTTTTACTCGAGCTTTTACTCTATCTCCGTCTCTTCTTGCTGCATTTAAGCTGAATATTTTTATCTCAAAAAACTTAAGTAATAGCGTTTGCTTCTTGCAAAAAGAGATAGAGGTAGACTCAGGTAGAGTGAAAAGCACTTGCTACACTTTATTTATATATGCCTGATTATCTCACTGATGTGACTTGGCAGCAGAGGCTTAAAACTATACCTTTACAACTTCAAATTGAGACTTATCACAATCAAATTGAGAACAAACATTTTCAAATTGAGATTAAACAAAATCAAATTGAGAATAATCAATTTCAAATTGGTACAACGTTTAATTACATGGAAACGGATGTTGTACCAATTTGAAATTGATTGTTCTCAATTTGATTGTTTTAAGTCTCAATTTGATTTTGTTAATTTCAATTTGATTGTGATAAGTCTCAATATGAAGTTGTAAAGGTATAGGTATTGCGATCCAGCAGTAAGCACATCAGCTTTCTCTCTAATAAAGCCAACTTTTCGATGATATTTTATATAAGATGTAATTCTCTAATCACCATTACTCTTCTTCCATAGGTTATGTCGACCTAGCAGAAGCCGACGAAAAAGGTATAGAAATCGCTGTAGCCACCCTCGGTCCTGTAGCTGTAGCTATCGACGCCGGGAAGGACGGTTTCCAATTTTACTCGGACGGAGTTTACTTTGACGACTGCGGAAACACTCAGGATGACATGAACCACGCAGTTTTGATCGTCGGCTACGGCCAAGAACCCAACGGCCAGAAGTATTGGTTGGTCAAAAACTCTTACGGACCTCAATGGGGCTTGGGCGGGTACATTAAAATGGCTAAAGATGCCGACAATCATTGCGGTATCGCTAATCAAGCCAGTTATCCTTTAGTATAAGAATTAGGTGATTTAAGTATACACTGCCAGAAAAAGATTTTAATTTTTGTTCAAAATTAATCAGAGCCTGATGTATTTGTGTGCCATACAATATCCGTTTCAATAATTGAAATTCAACAGATTTTTCAGTTATAAGTGTGGGTGGTACTATTTAAGTAGCTGTCAATTGGTTACCATAAAGTTTTATTGATTTATTCATAGTGTGAAAAAGATCAGGCTAATATAAGTAATTGTAAATACAAATAAATGTGATTTTTGTTTTATTATGGGCACCTGTAGCTATAAATTATCCACCTCATGGTCGCTTTCTGTAAGAACCAAACCAAATCAATTTCGATAAAAACTGTTCAATCTTTTTGTCAATAGAGGAAGTTTGGAAGTACACATATTACTTAGGTTTCCATTGAAAATTAAAATGATTTATTAAAATAAGTATCATAACACAATTTTAACGTAAATTGTCATCTATTTATAAATAAATTGCTGTTTTGCTGCAGAAGCTAAAAATAACAAAGCCCATAATACCAATTAAACGAAGGTTTTTCCCTAAAACATATCAAAAGCTTTGTACCGTGATTCCGGTTGTTATTGCTATAGTTATTAATTTGTAACATATATATCTTTAACAATTTTATATCAAAACATTCTCATACCCGATCTGAAGAGCATCCAATCAAAATGTTACTTGTTGCAATTTTATTTGTAAATTTTATGTGCGCTCTATCACAATTTGGCGACCTGAATCCTAACTTTGCAAATTTGAATTCGATACAAGAAATCACCAATCAGTGGTTGAAATTTAAGGTAACTGTCTATTATAATATATTTAAAAAAAAACACTCTTCAAAAACATATTTTTCAGTCAGATAACTTCAAACAATTCTCTCCAGAAGAAGACACGCGCAGATTTAACATCTTCAAAGAAAATCTCAAACGTATAGACGATTACAGGCAAAAACTTCAAGCGGGATTGATTGATTTTCGAGTTGCCATCACCCAATTTGCAGACCTCACCAAGGAAGAATTCATCAGTAAAATGTTAACCTTGAAGGTACCGGAAGAAAGGTCTAAAAGGGCATTGCCTAAACTCAACAGAACTATTCGGCAAATTTCTGACAGCGTTGATTGGAGAAATCAAGGGGCAGTGACACCAATTAAAAACCAAAAAGATTGCTCGTCTTGTTGGGCCTTTAGTGCAGTAAGAATATCAATTTGAAACATTGTTTTTTGCTTAAAAAAAAATAATAATTTCTAAAGGTAGGTTCACTTGAAGGCCAATATTACAAGAAATATGGAAACTTGATATCAATAAGCGAACAAAATTTGATTGATTGTTCTACGGATGGAAACAATAGAGGCTGTAATGGAGGCTGGATAGGAAACGCCTTCAAATACCTCACAAACAATCAAATAACAGCTGAAAATGAATATGCCTACACTGGAACACAACAGATGTGCAATAATAATATGGGGAATTTTAAAATTTCTATTAAAGGTACCTATACCCTTTCACTTATATTTTATTAAAATATAAACCAATAATTATTATTAGGTTACCAAACTATTCAACCAGACGAATCCCAACTACAACAAGCAGTAGCAACTATAGGCCCAATTTCAGCAGCATTAGATGCATCAAATCTTCAATTTTACGCTGGAGGTGTTTATAGAGACGACGACTGTGCTGTAGGGCGCGTCAATCACGGAATAGTCATAGTGGGCTATGGAACAGAAAGTGGAAGAGACTATTGGCTCATTAAAAATTCTTGGGGCAACCAATGGGGCGAGGGTGGATACTTCAAACTAATAAGGAATAAAGGAAATCAATGCAATATCGCTTCTTACGGGATGTATCCAAATTTGTAATAATAAAACCCAAATAAAATAACAATAATTTATACTCACTACAAAAAAATATACAATTGTTTAAACGAATTTGCTGTTGCGGTCCCTGTAAGATACCTCTCCTCTTCTATAAGAAGCTTCAATTTTGCCTCGGCTTCGCTTGAGCAAATATGCGAATCCGAACATTGGAACTACGATCAGACCGATGCCGCGTAGAACCATTTTTCCAGTGGGCTTGAAGTAATCATAGTAGTTGACGCCGATTGATTGGAAACGGAGAATGGCCGGATCAAACTGAAAAAAAAAGTGTGATTTAGAAATAGAAATATTCAATGAGGATGTTACACTGGTTTGTCATTTGGTAAAGTTTGCACTGAAGCCTTGGATTCAACTCCTTGTAGATAAAAGACTACATATAGTAAAAGAGGAATTATTTTTATTCAATCCAGAAAAATGATTCAATAAAGCAGCTAATTGCCAATTGCTGGACCTTGACAATAATTAGTGTTGGTTTATTGTTATTCTAATAAAATTCAGATAATTTTATTTTCTAGTTTTGTCAAAATACCGTTTCAACCAGGCCTTACCGTAAGTGGGTCAGCGATGACCCAAAATCTGATTTTCCAGGAATATCTTGCGGCCACGCGATTTTTTTGCAGAGATCTTCTGTGAATTCTACTAATTTATGTCAAGAATATTGCCTTTTGCATAATTTTCTCAAAAAAACAAACAACGTGAGTTGGGGTATGAAGATGTTATGACAGTTATCTCAAAAATGGTTCAATTGCCCTTGGCCGCTTTTTGCTCTATAGAGGCGATATTATCTGACACATAATAAGTATGCAGTGGGTACCTACATAAAAAAATGATAATTGTTATGCACTAAGTAGTTTTGGCAATTTTAGCCACTCAAATAATGATCATTCTCAAAAGGTTTTTCATCACATTTTTAAAATAATCTGCAATTGGTGTTTTGTGCATTTCACAAGTAAAGATGAAAGGATTTGTTTATCTCAATATTATTATACCAATTGATGAATCATCACTGAAGAGTAATCTGTGACTGAAGTAAGAAAAAAAGGGACCAGGGTAATGTAAACAAGCTATTGTACCTTTCTTTTCTTATCTATTTTTAAATTCGTCATTCGTCAGTAGACTATTGTGGAGAAATAAGCTATTAAAAAAATAATAATTACCAAAACTGTGATCCTAACTGCCCTTCAAATCAGAATTTTGGTAAGCTACTTCTAGTTGAGCATGTTTGGTAAAGACTATAAGCATTTGGCTGTAGATTTTTTCAATAACTTCCTTTTAACAATTGAAATTGCGTTTCACTGATATCCAGGGCAACAAATCACTGTTTGATTATTTCTTTTTGGTAATTGGTGTCCCCTGGGGAAGCCGTCCACCATAATAGGTTAGGATCCCATTTGTTGCACGATTATACTATTTAAGGTAAGTGTAGCAGTGGGGCACTACCGAATACCGGCGAGAAATGGTTGAATTATGATTTGCTGTTGGGTGTCAGCTACATAACGTGGTTTCAAATGAATTCAGCCTAATGGGGCTTTAATAGAATAGCTGAATGCTCTTCAAGTTTGCCAGACAAAATTGTTTTTGTTTTTTCCAGATTAAGAGTCAAGTGATCATGTTCTATATTGTAGCTGAAATGAATGAGGGTAGCTTTCCCCTAACAGGTCAGGCAGGGTGAATCAAAAAGTACCCCATTTTGGTTCCCCCTTCAATGCCCCAATACGTATTTGAGATCTTCCTGATAGTATTTAAGAAAATTTCGAGTTGATAATTTCACCAAAAGACTTTTGGGTTATTTTGCTCTATGGGAGAAATCAGAGATGGAGAAATATAAGTTCATAAAGTCACTGTGACAGCTGAAAGTATTTTTCAGAGGTTCTCAAACACAATTTTAGGGGATTTTTCAATTTTCTCTGAGATTCACCATGAAAAAAAATCTTAACTCTATTTTTTCGCTAGAGATTTAATCCACGTATAAAAGATACTCTAATCTATGGATCCTAGAAGTTTGAAGTCACTGTGAAGCCTGAAAGTATTTTTCAGAGGCTCTTCAATGCAATTTTAGACAATTTTTCAATTTCCTCGGTTCATCAAAAAGGGAAAAAATCTCTACTTTTGAGAAATATATGCTACATGGACAAAGAGTTTAATTCATACTTGCGTTCATAGATAATCATCACTACCTATATGATGGCTGGAAAGTATTTCTCTCAGAAATTTTAGAGACTTTTTTTCAAATATTTTAGACATCAACCAAGGAAATTCTTAAATTTACTTTTCAGCCTTGAAATCCACTTTTATAAATCTTGAAAACATAGTCACTATGAATGCTGGAAGTATTTTTCACAGGCAAAATCCACATGGGAGAAAAAAATCAATTTATTTCAGAGCCCAAAATCCACTTTCGGTTTAAGTATTTGACTTATGCCCGATTTATTCATCTTCAAATTAACTTGATGGTAACTATCTTTATTATTATTATTATGTTCTTGGCAATGGAAAGCGGCCTAAGACCGATCAGTCCATCGCTTTTGATTTTTCACTTTTAGTTTTTTGTTTTTGGTACTTCTTTGAAAATAATGCACTAATGTGTTGTTTATGGTACAAAGTTTTTGGTATATTCTATTTTTGAAAATGTTTTTGTTTGGTGCACTTATTGTTTCTGGGCTTAAGGAATTCCATTTATAGACTATGCGATTGGTTGAAAAGTTTTTCCTTCCAAGAAGAACAGTTCTCTCTTTTTTCAGTTTTTGGTGTTGTCCTCTGAGGTTTAAGTTTGGATTCATTTGGAACATATCTTCCAGTTTTAGGTCTGTAGAGTAGTAGCCATTTAGGATCTTATGTGTTTCAATTAGGTCTCCTCTTTCTCTGAGTGTTGTCAATTGGAATTTTTGTAGTCTTATTTCGTATGGCAGATTTCTAAGTTCAATTGGAATTTTGGTTATTTTTCTCTGCACACTTTCTAAGAGATCTATGTCTTTGATGTAGTAAGGAGACCAAACTGTGTGGCCATATTCTAGTTTTGGTCTAATGTAAGTGGTGTAAGATTTTTTTTTTTAAATTTTTACAGTTTGAATTTCAAAAGCTTGTCTCATAAGGTTGATTGGCCTTCTTTACTGTGTGGAATATATGTGTTTCCCATTTCAGATCATTGGTGACATAGAGTCCTAGGTCTTTCTGTTCTGAGACTTTTCTGAGTTCGATACTATTTATTTGGTAGCTGTATCTAGGGTTATTTCGACTATGTGTAAAACAGTACACTTCTTTTCATTTAGTTTTAGCTGCCATGTGGTTGTCCATTCTTCTACAGTGCACATGTCTTCCTTTAGTGGCTGCAGTTGTGTTAAAGGATTTCCATATAGTTTTTTGTCATCAGCAAAGGATTTTACTCTGGTTTGAATATTTTTTGACAGATCAGAAATGTACATTATAAAAAAAAGAGAAGCAAGTATTTTTTTTATTACAGATCCTTGTGGTACTCCGCTGACGACTGGGTACAAATCAGAGCTGGTTCTTTGCTTAAGAAAAGAGCTGCTCCATTGTAGGTACTTCTTATTAACCTCTTATTCCATAATGGCTCAGTTTGTAGCAATCTTTCATGTGTTACTGTATCGAAGGCTTTCTGAAAGTCGAAGTATATGATATCGATTGGCTTGCCTTCATCTAGGTTTGTAGACTAGTCGTCCAGGCAGCTGAGAAGATTTATTGTAGTAGACCTTTTTGGTATAAAGCCATGCTGTGTAGGAGGTATGATGTCATTTTCTAAGAGAAAGGATGTTGTTTTTTTTACAAGAATTTTCTCAAGTATTTTGGACAGTGTGCAGGTCTATAATTGGATGGGTCATCTTTGTCACCACTTTTGTAGATTGGTATCACTATAGCTTTTTTCCAGATTTCTGGTATGGTACCATTGTCTATTGAATCTTGGTATATTTGGGATAATAAGGGTGCTAAAGATGTAGCACATTTCTTTAGAAATATAGATGGTATCTCATCTGGGCCTGGACTTGAATAGGTTTTTAGGCTACTTAGAGCTGTGGTGACTTTGTCTGTTGTTATGTTAATGACAGTGAGTTGATTATTGTTCATTTGTCTCTATGGGCAGTGTTGGCATGTTTGTAAGGTTTTCTTTGGTGTAGACCAGAACGAAATTGGTTTGCAAAAGTGTTTGCGGTAGTCTTTGAGTTTTTTATAAGGTCATTCTTAATGGATCTCATAAGATTAAATCATGAACCTGGCTACTTAGATTGCACTTGATATAAGAATAGAAGTGTTTGTCACTTTTTTCCAGAAGATTTTCTTCATAGCTTTTCCTTGCTCAGTGATTAATTTTTTTAGTTTGTGTTTTTGTATTCTGTATCTGCCGTAGCCTTCCTTGGTTTTATTTTTAACATACTTGTCCCATAATTTTCGCCGAAATTTTCGCTTTTTGTCATTTTCTACAAAGATTTTCTGATTGAGCCATGGTTTTCGATGGTTAGTTCAGCATGTTTTTTCTGGTAAGAAATGTTCTATATCTGCGCGATAAATTCACCGTTCTATAGTTAACAGATAACTGGATAATTGGTCGACCAATGGGATTATAGATTGCCTTTTCATGCAGCAAGAATCACCTGACAGTTTATCAGAAGGTGAATAAACCTGCCCTTAATCAAGATTTCTAAAGTTCATAGGTTATCTGGTAATGGGTAACTTGATGACACATCTGGGGTGCCCTATGGAGATTTGCATTATGTTGAGGCACCCCAGATGACGTCATAAAGTTATCAGGCAACTTACCTTTCTCGAACAACTTTGGCCCTTAATGGAAGGGATTTTAATCCATAAATTTGAATAATGGATTTAACTAGGGTTTCCATAAAGGTTTTTCGGAATTCAGGACAAAGGAGTCAAGAAATCCGGACAAAATCCGGACTTCGCCGAAATAGCATTTATGCAACAAGTGTGTAAAGTGAAAGGCGAGTGCAACAAAATTCACATTCGTGAAAAAATGTTCACTTTACACCAGTATTGCATATACAAAAAAAATTCTACTATAAGTACCAATAAAATATGTGTAAAAAAATAAATTCAGACAAATACTTTAAAGTGAAGTAATTTACTAGAAAAAAATGACAGTGTCGATATCTGTCATTGATATTGACGTCTTTTAAATAGTGCGTAAACTGAGTGAGTATGAATGTTTTCACGATCTCCGAGTTTTCCGGACATTGTTCCGAATTCCGGCCGGACTTCCCCGGACACCCTAAAAACCCAAACACGTCCGGACGTATGGAAACCCTAGATTTAACAATAATGTCGCCACTGTGTTAAGAATTGTGAATCCTAACCTAATATTTACATTCTTTTAGGGATTCTAGGAACTCCTTCAAAACATGATAATTTTATGATTATTAGAGTAAAGGCCCCCCACAGACTGCGTTTTTGTTTGACGGTTTTGTTCGACGAGCAAATCTTGGTCGAGCAAAAATGACGGATCGCAGTTGCACACAGACTTCGGTTTAGTTTGGCGTACATCATTCATGCTGGAAAGTTTTTAATTTTTTTTTTTTTTAATTTTAATAATGTAAAAGTACGTATAGCTACGCTCCATACACCACACAAAACCGTCGTTTTTAAAATTTGTAGCCCACACACTCCAGATTTGTTGACATACCGAACATATTTGACGGACAAATTCAGGCGAAGCCAGATATTTGCATCGGTTTTGTATGCCAGCAAAAACGACAATTTTTCGCACACACACACACACTTCGGTTTTGCGTCGATCAGATTTGCTCGTCAAACAAAACCGTCCAACAAAAACGCAGTCTGTGGGGCCCTTTAGGAGATTTATCTTTGTCACGTTTTTGAGATAATTTATTCCTCTTTTAAATCATGTAAATGACATTATTGAAAACTAGCAGAGAGAAATTCCAGAATACACAGTTGCTGACTACTCGTACTCAGCAGTTTTTTGACACAATTTAAAATAAATGTATTTTTTCCAAAAGGGGAAATACAGTCTAGTCAGGTATATAAAATAGGAGTTAATAGCTACATAGGTATGTTTGATAAATTGAGAAGTTTGAACCAAACCAAACCAGTGATTATGCAATAATAGCAAATAACAACAAAGCAATAGTACAAAATTGGGTATTTTTAAGGCTCCAGTACATTATTTTATTGTATTTGTATGGCATTCCAGTGACTGTACTTACCACAGAACCACTAGCCCCACTGGCATGCTTGAAGGGGTCAGTTTTGAGTTTCAAAAATTCCTCTCGAAGTTGCTGTCTCCTTTGTACTTTCCATTCGGTTATTTCCAGAGCTTCGGGGCTCGCGTCCAGCTGTTGTGGTACTTTCGACATTTTTTTTATTACTGCTAATAATTATTCAATAATAATAATTAATTATTATTACAAAATAATAATTATTTTCAAAAATGTGTCAAATGCATATGACTTTCGGATGAGCTGATCCTATTAATCCGATAACCATCTGTTTCTTTTTTTATCTCTCTTTAATAAACACAATTGAAAAAAGACAAAGACATTAGATCGTGATCCAGGATCCATGCTTAGATTTTTGAACCTAACCTAAAAATTCAAACAAAAACAAAATCTTTGGTTAGGTAATTTGTTGTTTAATCATTATTTAAACAATATTGTTGCAAAAACTATAATGATAATAGCTACAACTCTGCTTACCTCTTGTGCCAAGTTATTATTGATTCCAGCTTAGTAAGTCCTAGCAAAAAAAATCCTAAATTTATAATGTATTTTTTGTAGTCGTTCTACAGACTTTGAAGTGCACCGCAACTGGCTGGCCATCACCCATTCTCTCCCCATAAAAAAATGGTACTACGAAGACACTTCGGAATGGACCTTGGATTATCCCCCGTTCTTTGCTTGGTTCGAGTGTTTTTTATCTTATTTCGCTACCCTTTTCGACAAAAACATGCTCGTAGTTGATAATTTAAATTATTCTTCAGAGAAGACTGTATTGTTTCAGCGTTTATCGGTGATTTTGACTGATTTGGTTTATGCTTATGGTGTTCATAGGTAACTACAGAATAAGACTAACTATTGAATATAATATTGATACAACTTTAGGGTGAGTGAAGCCTTACCAAAAAGTTGGAAAAAAGATGTGGTCTTACCAATCTTACTGCTAACAAATTGCGGCCTAATAATGGTAGATCACATACACTTTCAATATAATGGTATAATGTATGGCATAATGCTAATTTCAATTGCTTTTATGTTAAAGGTATTTTTGTCTCAAATTATATTATTAGCACAATAATTATCGAGAAATTTTAAGGAACAATTTAATTTAGCAGCATTCTGGTTCGCTGTGCTACTAAACATGAAACATATTTACGTATATCTTGCCCCTGCCTATTTCATTTATTTACTCAGACACTGTTGCTTTAATGGAGAAACCTCCTTGAAAGCTAAAACGTTTATTGGAAACTTTTTACAACTTGGCGGAATTGTTATTGGGATTTTTGCAGTTAGTTTTTTGCCATTTGCCAATGATATCCCACAAGTAAGTCTGAAGACACTTAAAACATTAAAAATATTAAATTTGTAAAAATTCTAGGTGTTATCTAGACTGTTTCCATTCAAAAGGGGGTTGAGCCATGCTTATTGGGCCCCAAACGTGTGGGCTGTTTATAATACTTTTGATAAAGTAGCTGCGATTTTTAGTAAGTTGTCAATTTGGAGTTCTACGAGGAGTTCTATATCTTGCCCAAGGGGTTGTGTGAAGTTTAAAAAAATACAGTAGGCAAAATTTATAATATTCTATCAGAAACATTCACTTCTCTTATACCAAAGTACTTAAGCACCCCTTTTTTTGGATTTCTGGTACTGAACTTCTTGGAGAGCTATAGAAAAACTAAATACATACAGGGTGTCCTTACATAAACTGTCACATTTTGCAGATAAATATTACGAAAATGAGACAAGGTAACAAGATGAGGTTTCTTCTGGGAGAATAAGAATTTTTTAAAGTTTTTTTTTTCACAATATTGCTAATTCCTAAAACTTGCTGAAATTTCGTCTTATAGACATGCGATTTTTTGTATTAAAATTGCTGCCTTATCTTCAATGAAACACCCTGTATATTTACCTACTTTAGTCATCGTCAGAAAGCCTGATTTTTGTACTTTACAGAAATGTATAATTTTTTTCAATTATCTTGAAATTAAACCAAAAAAAAAAAGAAAAATACTTCACGGAATCAGAGGAACTTTAAACTTTCAGGATTTATTGAGTAGAGTCTTGTTATCAAACAGAACAAACTGGATCTCAGGCTTAGAAATGGAATTATGGTTTTTTTCTCACTTAGATGAGATGCGATGAAGTCATACAAAATTTCTATTAAATCACCTTTGGACGTTTCTGAAAAATCCTTCACGGAATCAGAGGACCTGCCAACTTTCAGGATTTATTAAGCAGGGTGTTGATATCAAACAGAACAAACTTCGAATGTATGTCAGGCTCAGAAATGGAATTATGAATTTATTCTCAATTAGACACAAATCATACAAAAATACTTCAGGCGATCAGAGTGACTTCGAACTTTCAGGATTTATTGAGTAGGGTCTTTTTATCAAACAGAACAAACCACGAATGTATGTCAGGCTCAGAAATGGAATTATGAATATAGGCTTTCTGATGGGGATAAATATTTAGGGTGTTTCATTAGAAATAAGGCAGTATTTTTATTTCAAAAAAAGTCGCATGTCTGTGAAACCAAATTATCAAATTTAAGAATTCCGCAATACTGTGAAAAAAAAACTTTAAAAAATCCTAATTACCCCAGAACAAACCAAATCTCGTTTTAGAGATATTTACCTGCAAAATGTGTCAGGACACCCTGTATTATCACAACATTTTTTTCCTAGAAGGTAATTCTAATTCAGCTGCAATGACTGGAGGATTAGTACAAGAATTCTCTCATACAGTACTGCCCAGTGTTTCGCCTCTAATGACTATGCTATTGACAGTTTTATTCATGATGCCTGCTATAGTGAAATTATGGTTCTTGAATAAAAGCGGTTTACATTTTTTGAGGTGTTTGGTCCTGTGCGGTTTGACTTCGTTTTTATTTGGTTGGCACGTGCATGAAAAGGCTATTTTGATGGCTATTATACCTATGAGGTGAGGAAATTGACTGTGTAAATTTAATTGTATTTTTTGTGTGTTTTAGTATACTCTCTATAATGGAACCAACTGAAGCCAAATTATTTCTAATTTTATCAACAATAGGCCACTATTCCTTATTTCCACTTCTCTATCCTCAATCCCTTATTTTCACCAAAACTCTTTTTTTGATTTTGTATTCAATTTATTCGTTTTACAGTCTGTACAAAATTAACCAAACCAAGGCTACATGCAAATACACTTTACCTTTGTTGAACATTTTTGAGAGCCTTTTAGTACTAGGCTTAGTGGCAGTGTTCGCTTACGAACAAATTATTCATAAACTACTTGGGTTTGATAAGAAGTGGCCATTTTTGCCTTTAATGTTGACGTCATTCTATTGCGCTTTGGGAATAATGTATTGTTGGGGAAAGTATTACGTTTATTTTTTGAGGATGGAACATTTATTTGTGGGGAAAACGAAAAAGAAGAATAAATAGTTGTGATTTATTTGTAGCTCTTGTACAAAATGTAAATACATTCCATACAAAATGAAATAACTTTTTTATTTCTCCCAACTGTGCTTCGCATCCTGACAGATGCTTTAATCTCAATTAAATTCTGATAATTTTCAACATTTTCATCGAAATTGACTTGTAGTTCATAAATTAGTTATTGGAAAAACATCTTGAAGATACGCAGACTTTTATTATAAATAAATAAACCATTAGACATGGAATTGATAAACAATTACTGACAAAAATTATGTTGATCACTAAAGACGTATTGTTCAAAAAACCCTTTTAATAAGTTAAATATCTGAGCAAAATTTTTGAGGGATTATTGTTTCCCTCTTCAGTCTCAAAGGCTTTTAAAACAATACAATAACTTAACTTAAACATTACAAATAGATACGGTTCAGTCTTATCTATTACCTTATTGTAGGTTCCAAAATCGACAGATATAGATAAAGGAATATCTATCTATATCCTAAAAAATAATAATTCATGCCAATAAATTCGTTTCAAATCACACAAAAGGAATTGTATATAAAACAGGATACAAATAAAATCAGCACTTGATAAATAAACCAACAACAAAAAAAAATCACAAACAATAAGATGCTGATTGGGTTCAATTAAGAAATGACACGCAATTGGTAACGTAAATATAATTTTCAACTAGTCTGGCGTATAGTTCCCTACGTACTTTAGCTGTAAATTTATTGACGATACATAAAGAGGAAGCTGTGGCGAATAAAGTGTTGTACAAGAGGATTATTTTGAAATTTCCTAGCCACTCGATGCTTCCAAAGTCGCCTAGCAAGTCAAAATTTGTTATACCTATATTTAAACAAAAAATATTTACTCGAGGAATAATTATTATTGATTCACTTACCTAATATTTTCGATATCAAGGGTAAAGCCGAACTGATAATCAAAACCAAAGCGCAATTGGCAATAATAAGAGTAAACGAGGTACTCTGGCTTTTTGGTCTGACTTTGTTTATACAGGGAGCTGTATAAAAGCCTATGGACGATGTGGCGATAAAATACATAATCATGATAATTTCTAGGGCTGCACCAACTGGTCCTAATTTTGATAAACAGGAAACACCTAATGTAAATTGCTGCAAAAACAATATTTATATAGAAATCTTTGATAATTGGGAGTATTTTAAAATATCTCAAAAGCCAATAAAGGATTCAATCTTACCTTGGAACTACTGGGCAAAGCTTTAATACCTATGAGTAGTTGAAGTGTATTTTGCAACACCAACCAAATGGCGATTACTGTTAATCCTATAAGCAGCAACATGGCAAAAGGATAAACAATATTTCTTCTCAACGAAGAAGTTTTTCTTTGTTTATCTAAAGAAATAAAAATTGTAACATATTGAAGGCAATTTTAGTATAATGTATACCTAAAATTTTTCTTTTCTTTTCAATTTCAATTAATTTACTATCTAAAGAAGTTTTAATAGATCCATTAAGCACCTGTCTCCTTAAAAGAAAGTCATCATGTCCATAACCATTTTCAGCAAAAATTGGGGTAGTACTGGCCCAGGAATAACCTAGAAAATCAACTTGATATTTTAAATATTGCATAAGTATTTCCTTATAAACTAAATAACGGTACCTGTATCTGGGGCAAATTTTAAATTCCTAATTAAACAGTCTTCTTCTAAAGCGCACGAGCAATATTCTTCATTTAAATCAAGAAGAAATTGGGGTTTTATTAAAAATTTACCCACTACATCGAAAAGACGTACAAATCCTAATGGAGTACATACTAGAAAAAATTGTTTGATATTATTTAATACATATTAGTTTAGATTAAAATACTTACCAAGCAAAATCAAAGCACCTAGGAACGATATGCAAGAGTACAAAAATGGTAAATAATTCCACAAATCTAAAAAAATAATATTATACAAACAAATCAAACTAAATTAATTATAAGAATTCTTACTAAAAATTGGAATAAAACTTGAGTCTTCTCCATTAAGCAAAGCGGAAAGCACATAAGTCATTCCTAATACTGCTGTAGCTAATAGAGCAAAAACCGTAAAAGTTTCATAGACTCTAGCCCATATGCCTTTTCTATGGCCAAAAAAGCCTTCGGATTCGGTAAACAAATAGGCAAATGGAAGAAACACAAACATTGATAAATTTGAAAACAAGAAAACATACTCCCAAAGACCTAAAAACAATTTTGAATGTATTTTTTTAAAAAATGTGATTCAACTTAATGTCATACCTTGTATTAATGATGCATTGAGCCATTTTATGTAATAACTACGTGGGTAATTAACTAGGATTTCGTTGGCGACAATGGAAATCGGAAGTAATAGTAGAGATCCTATGGAAACTGCTAAGGAAAATGTACATAGCCAGGTGCTTATTCTGTAAACGGTTAATTCGTCTTCGTCTCCGCTATAATAATCTTCTTTGCCTAGGAACATTCATAAATATTATATTCTAGATGTTCTCAAGCAGATAGCCGACTGCATTTTGTTCTAATATTGCTAATATTTACTAGGTAATTTTCTGAGGGAAGTGAATAGCAATTAATTTTTTTTTTTTAATGTTTATGGGAAATATATTACCTAGGTAATATGTGTATATTCGATACGTTTTTGTGCTTTTACTAACCTTTTCGTTTAAATCTGCCCACAATGCCATAGCTCCCAATGTAGAGACAAAAGAACAAAAGGAAGAATATCTATAACAAGAAAATAATTGAAAATAAAAATAATCTGTAGAATGTAGAGTTTACTATAGGCAGAGTTGGGCACCGGCACAGAATTATTCCTAAACCAAATATCCATGAAAAATGTTCCAATGCAATATTTCCATGGTTATCCTTATAATCTACAATCTACTACGGTAAAATTTCAGCTTTTTATTTTTAATAGAAAAAAAGTTATGACCTTTCAGTTTTCCAAAATCTAAATCATAAGGTAGTAGTCCAAGAGCCCAGAGCCGCCAGACACAACTTATTTTCTAAAGAACAGAATATGTGGGATTGAGTAGCACTTATAGGTACTATGAACGTATGTATACTCGCTAAGTTGGGTAGACGGCCAATTGAAAATAACAGTAACAGTTGAAACTGTTATTTGTAAATAACGATTTTTCCTATTTCTACTCTAACCTGGAGTAGACTGTAAGTTTAAGAGGGGAAAATCAGTTGGCATAGATATCTTGCTCACTCTCAAACGCATGCATATTATCCTCGCGCTCACATTCACGGAAAAATTATTATTGCGTCTGGGGGGATATTTGGCCCGTGCGATTGGTCTGGCTGATCACACGTAGTTATGAAATAGTCTTCCCAATAACATATATAAAACTCAAGCGTTAGAAAAAAAGTTAAAGCTTATCTCAGCTTTCGCACCGGGTGTCGGTAAATTGGCCGTCTACCCAACTTAGCGGGTATACATACGTTCATAGTGCCTATAAGTGCTACTCAATCCCATATATTCTGTCCTTTAGAAAATAAGTTGTGTCTGGCGGCTCTGGGCTCTTGGACTATAGCTACCAGTTACTAAAACGATGAAATTTCAAATTTTTTTTGCTGAGATTTTGAGTTCTAATGGTCTTTTCGGACCCCTTCAACTCCATACACTAAGTTATCCTCAGATTTAAAGCCGAAATCTATAAAAAAAAGGCACTCAGAAAAATTGAAAAATTGATAAATCACCCCAAATTGCTTAACACGATTTTATTTCTGAAACTATCAGTGTAAATGAGCTGATTTTCAGGGATTGTAGTCCTCTACTGGGATAAGAATCGCTGAAAATTTTAGCTTTCTATCTTTAATGGAAAAAAAGTTATGACCTTTCAAAGTTTTTCAAAATCTAAATCATAAGGTAGCTACTCGGGTAGCTACCTTCCGAGCTACCTTCTTACTAAAACAATGAAATTTCATTTTTTTTGTTATTGAGTTTTTGTGTCCTTATGGTCCTTTGCGACTCCCTCAACTCCATACACTAAATTATTCTCAGATTTGAAGGAAGCAGAAATCTATGAAAAAATGCACTAAGAAAAATTGAAAAATCACCCCAAATTGCTTATCACATAGTCCTCTACTGGGATAAGAGTCGCTGAAAATTTTAGCTTTTTATCTCTAAAAAAAAAGTTATGACTTTTCAAAGTTTTCCAAAATCTAAATCATAAGGTAGCTAAGTACTCGGGTAGCTACCTTCTTACTAAAACGATGAAATTTCAATTTTTTTTTGTTGGGATTTTGTGTCCTAATGGTCCTTTGGGACCCCTTCAACTCCATACACTAAATTATTCTCAGATTTAAAGCCAGAATCTATGAAAAAAGGCAGTCAGAAAAATTGAAAAATTGAAAAATCACCCCAAATTGTTTATCCCGATTTTATTTCTGAAACTATAAGTCCAAATAAGCTGAAATTTCCAGGGATTGTAGTCCTCTACTGGGATAAGAATCGCTGAAAATTTCAGCTTTTTATCTTCAATAGAAAAAAAAGTTATGACCTTTCAAAGTTTTCCAAAATCCAAATCATAAGGTACTTAGCTACAGCTACCTCAGTATTACCTAAAACGATGAAATTTAATTTTTTGTTGAGATTTTGTGTCCTAATGGTCCTTTGGGATCCCCCAAACTCCATACACTAAATTATTTTGAGATTTGGAGCCGGAATTTATGAAGAAAGCTCTGGGAAACCACTGAATACTTCATAGGAATTTGACCTAATGGACCCTCCACCCAAATGATACCTTATTGTTAGAAGCCTTTCCAAAATCCAGGTAAAATACATCAACAGATTGGCCAGAATCATTTGCCCTTGTCCAGTCATGAACCTTGGTAAGCAGGTTCATGAATGTTGGACCTTCTAGGAAGGAATCCATGTTGGGGTGATTCTATTTTTGAGCGAAAATCCAGTCATCTCAGATAGATTTGCAAAGGGTGCTTGTTAAGGTAATGGGTCTATAGTTTTCAGGCAGGTATTTGTTGCCTTTCTTTCAGTGATCAAAAGCCAACCTCTTGCCATTGACTAATAGCAGATAGCAGATCAAGTAGACTGTTAGTTTCTCATATATTATGGTTGGAAGATTTGAAAATTGAAAGGTGGTTATAGAATCTGAGCTACATGGATTTGTGGGATGGACTGTTGAGGGTTTCCAGTTGATCTCTGTGTAGTTGAAATCCCCAAAAATCAAAGTAGATATACCAGTGTTGCATACTTGTTCTGCAACCTTTATAAGTTTCAGGTTTTTTTCTACACTGGTTTGCAGTTCAGGCTGAAACATAATATGCATGAAACAAGCATAGGCTGATCTATTTATTCTATTTCCACAGTATCAGGTGTGAAATATATGGGGCTCATTGCAGACTGAACATGGAGCTGCGGATGAATATACAAATTTTCCTCTCTTTACACACAGTGTGTATCCAAAAATTTGCACTAAGCTATCTAGAGGTAGTTTCCAGTTATCCATTTGAGTTACACCTGAGCAGCTCATAAGTGCTCCACAATTACTTTTGTGCACCAACCTTTATTTCGGTGTTCTATGCTCCTGAAGTCCGAAATCACTCCCGAAGTCCGAAATCATGGGGGTTAAAACGAGAGTGTTCCAGTGCTGCTTATGTGGAACAGTTCAAGAGCTTCACACTTCAGGAGCATGATACTCTAACAATTTAGGCACTGGAAAGCAGCTTAGAATCTTTTGTGGAGCCATGTTGGTGAGAACATTTGGATATTTGCCTTCCACTCACCGATCTTTGTCATTATGGAGTTCAAATTATTATACCAGAAAGAGATTTTCACAGAGTAGACAGATTGTAGTTTTTTGAATAAGTTTGTGTTGGCGTCTTGATGATTTTAGGTGAGCCATTGATGTATCTTATGAAAACAAGTAGGTAGTCTTTGTGAGTACAAAGAGCACCTCACTTCAAGAATCAGCTACCTGAGATTTTGAAGAAACTTTAAACAAAAGTATCCCAATAACCAGATTGATTTGTAGGCAAAACGTTCAGTTATTTCTGCCTCCTTGATAATAATATTTGCATCATAACCCAAGATCCCATCTTTCAAAAAACATAGTGAGCAAAAATATAAAACTAAATTAAAGTAAAATAAGCAATTTATTTTAAAAGTTGAATAACACGCATTTAGTGTCACTTGAAGGTCTTAAGCAGGGTCACGTAGTTATTTTAAAATGTGTGATAATTGATAATACACACTTTTATTTAAGTAATTAGATAAAAATGCTACTCACAATTTGTTCTCGGACGCTATTATGGAAAATCTGCTCCGTGATATTTGGTTCTTCAAACGTTTCTTCTTCATAATCCTGATAATGATCCATTATACTCTTGGCTCATCTTTTTATTTTCGTTTTTTCCCTAAATATTTTGTAATACTTTTCATTATTTCAATTTAACACTGATTTTTTATCTATTCCTTATAACACATTAACTCATCGATAATGTATTTTAATCGTACATTTTATATAAACACTACAAGTTTTATTAATAAATTTAACAATAAATAAACAGTTAACAACAATCTATTTTTTTGGAACTAGGAAATTTTGACAGTTTGGTTTTATAACGTTAGGTTATGACTATGATATGGCTGCTCTCTTCTTTTTGTTGTTTTTGACCCTGCTCTGGCTCTCGAACTGTTTTAGGGCAATAATTGCACTGTGAAATGGACCGCGCATTATTTATTATCCTTGACCCTAGGATAGTGATGAACTTATTGTTCGTCGATTTTGAACTGATACTTGTGGCACCTTGCGGTATGAGGAGCAAGGGAGTGTTTCATATGGCAAAAGCAGGTGTGACATCAGGTAACCATTGGAGTTCTAATCTAGGGAGCCACCAGCTCACATTCCGTCCGAGTATCAGATTAAAATCAACGAACAATACTTTGCTGTTTTTTAATACACGTCTTTGCTCGGAATCGGGTTCGGTTTTCATAAAATGCACTTGCACTCCTAAAATGTGAACTGAGTGCGCACTATCGGGATGGAGTCCGAGTAAAATTTTGTTAGGTGTTCTTACTCCAAAAGAGTGACCCAGAATTTTTGCATCAGAAAAATCTCAAATTAACAATTTTCTCACTCAAGTAACTGAGAAGTTAATTAATAGCCATGCTGGTGTACGTATCGTACGGAGTACTGAGAGTATACACCGGCTTTGCTGTTTATTAATACTAGTCTTTGCTCAGAATCGGGTTCGGTTTCCAGAAAATGCACTTGCACCGTTGCACCGCACTCTTGGAATGTGAGCAGAGTGCGCACTATTGGAGTGGAGCCAGAGCAGAATTTTGTTAGGTGTTCTTATTCCAAAAGAGTGATCCAGAACTTTTGCAACAGAAAAATTCAAAATTTTCTCACTCGAGTAAAAAAAAAAAAAAAAGGTTTGTTTCTGCAGAAATCATCAAACCAGTCAGAATGAATTTCATTAACCCTTTTCACATGGCTCCGGTTTAACAAACCGCAACATACCGAACATACCGCTCAAATGTCTCTAACCCTTTTGTAACCCGGTTAGTTAAATCGGAGCCACGTGAAAAGGGTTATTGCTTAAAAACGGTCAGAAACAGTCAGAAGACTAGTTTCAACCAATGCAGACAGTGCGTACGGAGTACTTTAATATACAGAACTCAATAATTGATTATCACTTTTACCAACTTTTGACAATTCGATTATATTTTCAAACAAACAGAACACATTTCCTAATGAAAACGCTATAATAATTTGCTCTATAGTTGTATTTTTTTCAAGAGTTTGAAACACTTGAGCTACTCGCTCTGGTGTTCAGTCGACCCCGATTTGCAGGGAACATGCGTGGTGCAACAAACATTTTTCGAAAGGAATTAACGCGTGAAGCTCCGGAGCTGTTCCGGAGCTCCTCCTAATTGTGAAAGGAATAGAACTATTCATGGATGATCATCACATGATTCATTCATTTTTTATACAATCGCTTTTGTGAATCACATGACTATTGATTGTTTTGTTTGTTTGCTTGGCCTGCTGATAAGTATAGATTAAAGAGAGGCAACAACAAAGAAGTCTTTGTTGTTTGTTGAGCTGAATAGTTGGTTTTTATCTTTTGGTTGGGGATTATAAATCAGTAGTCAGGGTCAAGAGTGGGTCGCTGGTCATAGTGAGCTTTAGAACACTTTTAGAACTTCTAGAAGAAACATCATAGAGAAAACAGAAAATAGGTAAGTAGATTTTTTTTTTAAATTTATTTATTTTCTATTTTGTATCTTGGTTTGTATTTATTTAAATATGATTTTTCGTCTATTTTTGTGTAGTTTACAAGGTATTTTACAAAGTATTTTATTATTTTTCTAGGTGAGATACCTATTGCTTTGTTCTTTTTTGTTGAACTATTTCATGTTTGCTTGGAGTAGGAAGTTAATAATTATAATTATAATAGGTTTGTTTCTGCAGAAATCACAAACCAAACCAGTCCAGTCGGGGCGAATTCCATTGGTTGAAAACATTCAGAAAACTAGTTTCAACCAATGAAATTCACTCTGACTGGTTTATGATTTCTGCAGAAACAAACCTATTATACCTGTTAAAGACTCGGTTAAAGAGTAATAACAATAATCATCAATAATTGTTTTTTTTTTAAATATTCCTATTTCTAGCAGTTGACCAACTTCATGGTTGATAATATACGTAGCCTTAACCTTGAGAACTATTTGTTGGGGTATTGAAAGAGATTTTTTCTAGTTTTGGGCTTATTTGGCTTTTACTTATATATTTGCTGATTTTTGCTCAGGTTACAGAGCCCTAAAGTAAAATCCGAAATATTATAAATATCCAAACTCAATTTTTGAACTATAGACTCAAAATTTGGATTATAAGTAGGTACATAAGTAAATTCAACTTTTGACTATTCCCGGCTCTTAATTCCAGACAGCACAGGAAAAATCAAGAGGAGAAATTATAAAAAATCAAGAATTTCAATTGAAAGAAACATTTTCTTGCTAATATTTCCTTATTATTACTCATTTTATGACTGTCAATTTTTGTCTATTCCAGGCGCTATATTTCTGAGGGTTTTAAATTGTTCTGAAGTCCTTCAAAATGCTGCTGGAAACAATTTTAGGATTCTCTAAATGGCTTATTGAAGTTCTAAAGAGTTCTGGAACATTTTAGAAGTTTTTCAGTAATTTCTAAATTGTTCTGACAGATTTTTAAGTATTTTAGAGCCCTATAGTGAAGCTCCAAAGTGTTCTAAATTGGACCAAAAGAGTTCTCAAAGGTTTCCAGTCCTGAATAATTGAATCCTATTGTTCTGAAATAACTCTGAGGTTTCTAAATTTTTCCAAAATGCTCCTGAAAATTCTGATATGGATTTGAACTTTTTAAATGCTTATTAAAGCATTCATAACTTTTACAGCAATTTAAATTTGCTCTTGAACGCCTTTGAAAGGCGTTTTGTAACTTTCAACCTGAATCCTAAGATCCTGACGCTTTTCAAAATGTTTCTGAAGATTCTAGAGTGTTTGAGTGTTTTGGAGCTTCCCAAAATGGGTTTCAAACTTCCAAATTGTTTTTAAATGTGTTTTTAGAACTTGTAAATTGGTTTTTGAATGTTTTGGAGCATTCTAAAATGGTTCCGAAGTTTTCAAATTGTTCTGAACCGCTAAAGAATGCTTTTGGAAATTCTAAATTAAATTTCAAGTGTTTTGAACTTTCCAAAAGGCTTATTTAAGTTCTAAAGTATTCTGTAGCATTTCAAATGGTTTCCAGTAACTTCTAATTGAATTTTGTATCAATGTGGCTCAGTCATTTTTGTGTTCAGACGGAATGCAGATCTAAAAAATATGTCTTCAAGACATTGTGTGCTGTCTGTGATTGGACTAATTTAGATTGATATGATTAATAGAATTGTTTTTGAAACGTGGAACTTAATCAAAAACCAGGAATAAGCAAAATTTAAATTTTTATAAACATCCGAACTCAATTTTTGAACTACAGACAGGAATACTCAAATTTGGATCAATCAATCGCATTATTCCTGGCTCTTGATTGGACTACTATTGCTTTGAATTTTCAATTAATTGAATTGCTTGTAAGTCAAAATATTAGATGAGATGTTATTTTTTCCTCCTGGAGTTTAAAACCTCTAGAAATTAAGGATTTCACATGATATTGAGCTATACCTTGACTTATATCCGAGGGGTGTGACACTTCCAAGTATTTTGTACACCTGATTTTTGATTTTCACTACCTTAATGGAAATCAATGAAATCAAAAATTAGATTTGGTAAAATCTCATGATTTCACTTGATTTCAACGATTTCCTGAGATGATTATTTGATTTTACTTGATTTTGCTGATTTCACTTGATTTTGTTGATTTCATTGATTTCCCAAGAGTAGGTAAATGTGATTTTACTAGATTCACACAGATTTCATGATTTCACTACCATTTACTATGTCGAGATCGAAATTATTGGGAATGATTCATACCATTAGTAACACTATATCAAGTAAGTGGCATCATAATAAAGTCGAGAAATTTTACTGTGCCAATACTATTACATCACAGAAATTACACCATGCTGTGCTGTGAGTAATTTCGATCTTGGGTAGTATAGGTAATCTGTGGTATAAGCGTCAGGCAAGGGGTGAATAGCTGACCCAAAATGTGTACACTGAGATCACCGACTGCCAAATTCCACAATTTTTAAGGGGGAAGCAGCACCCCATGTAGACTGTGTGCGCTTTTTTGGGGTGATATCATATTTCAGACACCCTGTATGATAGAAAAAAGGTGAAAACTACTATAGATAGATATTTTTATGTAGAATCCAGTGTTGTAGTCAATAGTTAATATTGCTTCACTAAGTTCATTGGGATTATTAAGTTTTTCAAGTTCAGAGTAAAAAATGGTTATTTAAAAAATTAATAATTTTATTCAATTTTGCTTGTGAACACTTTAATAGGTACCTACAATTCCATGGCCAACTTACGTTTTTCTTTTATTATTGCCTTTTTAAGGGTTAGTTTGAGTCACAGTGCAAAATGTGATGCATTATTTCAAAGAGAAATAAAGGCGAATTTTTTGGGACCAAAAAATACAGGGTGTCTCATTTATAAAATACTAAGTTTGGGGTATATCTCGAAAACGATTTGCCTAAAAAATTTTTTGACTACAACACTGGATTTTACATAGGAATATCTATCTACAGCAGTTTTCACCTTTTTCTATCTTACAGGGTGTTCTATTTCACCCTGTATCTCTGGAACAAAACAAGGTGGCATAATTGTGTTTGCGGCATTCTAAGTTTCACGAAAAACTGGGTCTCGAAAAACACAAAGTTCTATCTCTTCTGGTTACCGCTGTAATTACAAGTAATTTGGGACACAGTGTATGTATATGTGCACATTGGCCCATTTTATTAATTAGGCCAAAATTAAACAACAAAATAAAAAAGGCGCGAATTTTGAATATTTTATTGGTGGAGGCACTGCCTTAGAAAACAACGATTTCAGGATTTCAATAAATTGTATGTGATTTGTGATGATTTTAAGTGATTTAAGTACAAAGATTTTCTTGATTTTGATTGATTTTTCGGATAATCTTGATTTGCATTGATTTCGAACGATTTTAGGAGATTTTTCAAGATTTCGATGATTTTAAGGGATTTAATGTGATTTTGCTTGATTTTACAGATTTCGGTGATTTCTATTGATTTATGTGAGTTTGAGCAAAGTGTACACCTGATTTCAGGAGTGTCACACCCCTCGCTTATACCTATCTATAGAGTAAAATCTTAAAAATTCTTTTTCCACTTTTAGAACTCTAAATTAAAATGAGTGAGTCCTTGATTCTATTATTTGGGTCATCCATGCACAGATTACGAAACCTATTATCAAATAAGCATTTATGTTAATTTTAAACCTTGATAACACTATTGCTTTGATCTATACAAAACCTTAATATACAATTTGTGTTTGTTAATTGTTGCAAAATATTTTCAATTCATTTTTTGTTTCAGTAAATTTGTTCAAAATGAAGCTGTTGCTAATTTTAGCCACGATTGTCTTGACTTGCAATGCAGTTTCATTGTTGGAGCTGGTACAAGAGGAATGGAGAGCATTTAAGGTAAGACTATGTGTTTCAATTAATTCATATTTGAAAAATAACAAACTATATTGACAATAATAGTAGGAGTAGATAGTTGAAATAATAATTTCTGTTGGAACATCCTTTCATGATCATGAATGGACAATATATTATTATTCTTAGTGTATGTACAGAAAACAAACAAAACGAATTAGCCAAATCAATTAGAAAAAATTAACCAAAGACCTTTTTATTTAGTAGTAAACAATATTTATTGAACTAATTGTTCAAAGGGCCATCAACCGAGGTCTTTCAGCCTTTGATATCTACAATTTTATATTTACAAAATTTGCTAAGTATAAGTATAAAACAGATAAATCCACATGCGATGGAGAAAAAAATAAAATTAAATGAACAATGCAAGTAACGTACAACACAACTACCTATGTACTTATGTTAGCTTTTTATAGTCTATTATTTTGTATAATTTGGAAAACAGTTTCTTCTGGATATTGTCTTTTCCTGATAAGGCCTTGTGGAATTTCCAAAATGAATGGACTGATTATCACTATGTTGGATGGTCTGCTGCCAAACTTCTCGGTAAGACTTCGAAATCTTTGAATGATTGGTTCAATTTCAGTTTTTTGATACAACATTTCATTTGATGGATTATGAAGCGGGTTTGTTTGTCTGATTTTTGTAATTTTATGGAGACTAGTTCTTTCTGCAGTTTCTATTATCTGGATGGCAGGTCCTCTACAAGCACTGAAAATTATTTGTCCGTATTCCAAAATTGGTCTGCACATTGTTGTATAGATGTGACATGCAGTTTTGATGTTAATACCCTCGTCCTTCTATGTTAGGTTTCTAAAATGCTTGCTCCTTATTATTGTCTTTTTCTTCATCGTTGACAGGTGATATTTGAAATTTAATTTATTGTCGAAATGGATACCCAAGTATTTGATGTGAGATTGAGGGAGTATTTGGTGGTTGAGAATATCTAGTTTTGGTGAAGCGCTGATCTTGTGATGAAATATTATAAATTGCGATTTTTCAGGATTTACTTTTAGTTTCCACCTATCTAACCAGACAATCACTCTGTTAAGTGCTATTTGTAGAGATTGAACAGCTTGAGATATATTCTTGTGGTGTGATATAATAGCGGTATCGTCTGCAAATTGTATGATATATGGACTTGCAACTGTAACCTGGTTTATTGGAGGGAAGATGTCGTGACAATAAATATTATAGAGCTATGGCGACAGTGATGATCCCTGTGGTGTTCCCTGCTCATTAGAAAATGGGTATAAAAGGCTTCCATTTATTTTTACCACATTTTGTCGATTCTCCAGGAACTTCTTAACAAGCCATATCAGGTATCTTGGACATTGTAACTGGTAGAGTTTAAACAGGATACCTCTATGCCAAACTGTATCAAAAGCCTTTTTAATATCTAAAAACGTTGCCGCACTTCTGAAACCCATAACATTTGCTGACTGTATGTTTGATGTTAGAATGGATAGTGGATGAATAGTGGAGTGACCTTGCTTGAAACCGAACTGATGCCCAGGTATGTTTCTTCCTATTTCACGGTTTATTCTGTTCCGAACAATTTTTTCAAGATTTTTTCCTAAAACTGGCAAAAGGGTAATTGGTCTGTAGTTTTCCACTCTGGAATGGTCTACGTTCGGTTTGGGTATGGTTCTGACTGTGCCTTTTTTTCAGGTATTTGGAAAGTAGCCATTAGTTAGACAGTAGCTGTACATTTATTTTATTCTTGTGTGGATTTCTGGGCTGAGTTGTCTTAAAATATTACGGTTGATGTTGTCGTAACCTGGAGCGGTGTTTTGCCCTTTAGCTATGACCTGTTTGTATTCATCGTCCTCGATTTGTATATCAGCTCTGCGTAGCTCGCCTGAGAAAAAATTATCAAACCATTCGTTGACAATTGCAGTTTGTTCGTCCCCGTCATTCTTACTGTTATCCATAAAAAGATTTTCATAGTACTCCGCAAAGGCATTAGCTTTATCGAGGTCGCTGTCCAGAACCGTGTTCCCTTGTTGTATCATTGGGATTGGTGATTTTGCTGCCTTATATTTACTCAATTTTTTAATTTCAGTCCAATAGTTTTTTCCATTGAGTCTATTTATGTTATTGCAGCATTTTATCCATTTGTCTTGTTTGAATTCTCCAATCAGTTTGTGTATTTCTTTATTTAAATCATTGAATTGCCTTTTTAGGTTTGAATCGTTGTCATTTTGTTTTATTTGTCTATAGAATTGGCGTTTTTTCTTAATTAGTGCTACTATGAAGGGAGGAAGTTCATAGTTAAATCTTTTTTTCCTTAATTTTGGAGAATTCGATGTAACTAATTCCGACAATTTCTTAATAAATTCTTCGATAAAGTTTCCATTAATTTCTTCTTCTTCATGTAAAAACTCCCCTAGCTTCTGATTTACAACATCAATATTACATTTTTGTATGTTATATTTTGTTTCTTCTTTGTAGTTATCTTCTGGAGGAATTGTAGCATCCAGAGTCCATAGTATACTGAGATGATCACTTCCTAGGTTTGATGTTGATGAAGTATTAATGTTTTTCTTAATATTCTGAGTGCATAATATTATATCAAGTGTGCTGCTTGGGTTGTTCGTCATGATAAATGTAGGTGGTGTGTTGATTCTAACAAAATCGGAGTTCTGCAAGAAGAAATTCAACTGTTGTTTTTTTCCAGCATTTGGGTTGAAGTCTCCAATTATGACACAGTATTCATATAGTGCGGCTTTTGTAAATATGGTTTCTTCTATGCGCGATGATGGGTGAATGTAAACCAATAATATATATTTATTTATTTATTTATTGACAGGACTATCTCAAAGTGTACATACAATTCAATATAACAAAATATATTATTTTTACAAAACTTAATGTGATTAGCTATAATTTTAATTATCAATACGTATAAAACAATTAATTTTATTTTCTTATCTCTAAAGTTGCAGAAACTCAAAAATCTTGATACCTATATAGCCATTATATCACACACCTTGATATATCTGCCTTTAGTTATCCCTGTAATTTCCAAATTATTCCGATTTATCAGTGAGAGACTCCTACTTACAGGAGAGTTCAGACCAAATTCTGTTCTGTGAAAATCTAAATAAAATAGATATTTGTGTCTCACTTGTCTTCCAGGAACGTGAAGCTCGATTTGCTTTAGCAATTCGTGCAATTCAATCTTTAATCTACGAAACTTGATTTTTTGTTATTGGGAATACTCCAATCTATTCTTCAATTCCTTATTTCTTTATCTCTTAGAAATACTTACTGCTGGATATGGTATTATGTATAATCTTCAATAATTATTTTAAATCAGAAATGAATGCTCTAGAAATATGTTATGCGAGGGCTCAACTATTATGCTCACAAATGTACAATGATTCTCATATTTGGCAATCACTGATCAATGGATTTCATGTATTCCCATCCCAATAATTGCGACTGATTGCCAATAATTTTCAGATATTTTTGTATGATTACCAAGGGTTTTTTTATTTTTTCTAGGGATTCCTATGTCCGAGCCTATATCAAACACATTTCCACTGAAAAATTGGCAACTTCTGTATTCGCAACTCTTCCAAAAGTTAGCAACTTTTATTTTCATGGTTGTCCACACCCAAACCGATTTTGTTGTAGGTATAAGTAGTTGTTGAGCCCTAGATACCAATGCGTGTCTACACTGTATAATATGGATCTAAAATAATGGATATTTCTTTGATTTTACTAGGATTTTCATCCGAATCAGAGACATCTTCAGTTAGGGTTTCACTCGACAAACTTATTTCTGATTCAGATACGCTATCGCCTCTGCTTCTCGCCCTGCCTAGTATTTATTCTATTTTCCCTTTTCAAGTTCTTATTGCCTTGATTTCCCGACTTTTTCTTTTGTGCCTTTCTCAGGGACATTCCCATAGCTCTTAATACTGGATCGACAAACGTTCCCGCTTCTCTGAAAATAACCAAATTGAAGTTGAGCTCTGAATAATCTCTCAATTGTAGCGAATCGCTATTGCTGATGTGTGAAGAAATTCTGTGTCTTTTGGCAAGTCGGATTCGAGAGAGGTCTCAAGATTCATGTTTTCATTTTTATGATCTACAACATTGTCATACTTTAGGTATGTTCTCACAAAAATCACAAACTAGTCAGAGCGAATTTCATTGGTTGAAAATAGTCAGGAAACTGGTTGTTGGCGATTACACCTATCAAAATTGTAATTTGTGATTTCTGTGAGAACAGGCTTAATCTTTATCTCGTTCTTTTTCAAGTTCTAAACTTTTTGTAGTCTTGGATTCAGTTATTGGGAAACTCGTTGAGATATCAAATTCATTTCAAATTGTCTAGCACTCAATGTTGCCTGAAGAAACTTAGTCTTAAAGGCAAATACACAATTGACTGGTACGCTGTATCGTTTAAAATGTATGGACATGCGATTTCTGGGTTAGAATGAAATCATATTCCCAGCGATTACCACATGATTCTCAACGATTGCCAATGAATTCCTATGTGATTCCCATGGAGTCGTAGGAAATTCCTAGCGATTCCCAGGTTATTCCCAGGGACACCCGAGTGATTTCCATGTATTCCTGATTGATTACTATGGGATTCCGAGAAAAATGTACAATGATTTCCACTAGTGGTTTACCTCTCGATGTTATGCTAACTAGTTGTGTAAGAAAATTATTTTAAAATTGAAAAATATCAATTTCATAACCAGTTTGATGAAACAATACAATAATTAAGTAAATCAAACAATATATACCTAATCTCAAATCTAATAACTAAGTAACTATTATTAATGAGTTAAGTACCAAAATGTTATTTATCTATTTTAGCAACGGTTTTATTTTTAATATTAAAGTTTTCCATCACAAAATGCGTAGTTGCATTATAAAAACACATGACTACACAGGTTAAAGGTTTCGGTGTCAGCCTCAGCCAGAAGTATTTTTTGTTGCGATAAGGCTTAATAAACGCTTAT